CCAAAACAACGTGGGAACCGAGACACAACAATCAATTGAAATTTGCACTTATCAAAATTTTTCAATACGGTGTTTACACAGTGTTTTGTGTAATGTTTACACAATGTTTACACAAATGCATATATTAGGGAGAAGCGTGCATAAAATGAATATATTAAGGAAAGTAATAGAATAGATTACTTGCAGAAACAAAACTGCATACAAAAATGCTTTTACAGTGGTACCCCGCAAGACGAACGCCTCGCAAGACGGAAAACCCGCTAGACGAAAGGGTTTTCCGTTTTGGAGGCGCTTCGCAAAACGAATTTCCCTATGGGCTTGCTTCGCAAGACGACAGCCCATAGGGAAATCTCAGGGACAGCGGGGAAGCGCAGCGCGTCTTCCCCACTGTCCTCGGACCTCCTCCGAAGCCTGGCGGCGGGGCGGGGACACCTCCTCCCGCCGCCGCCGGGCTTCGGAAGGCTCCTCCGAGCCGGGCGGGGGGAGGGAACACCTGCCGCCGCCGCCCGGCTCGGAACGGTGCTCCGGGCCGGGCGGGGGAGGGAACACCTGCCGCCGCCGCCCGGCTCGGAACGGTGCTCCGGCCGGGCGGGGGGAGGGAAGACCTCCCGCCTCTGCCCGGCTCGGAACGGTGCTCCGAGCCGGGCGGTGGGGAGGGAAGACCTCCCCGCCGCCCGGCTTCGGAACGGTGCTCCGGCCGGGCGGGGAGGGAACACCTCCCGCCGCCGCCCGGCTCGGAACGGTGCCCGGCCGGGCGGGGGGAGGGAAGACCTTCTGAAGGTGGGCGGGGGCGAAGTCTTTGCTCCCCTGCCTGCCTGTCCCGGAGGGCTTTTGAAGGCGGGGAGCAAGACTTCGCCCCCGCCCGCCTTCAGAAGAGGTCCAGGACCTCTTCTGAAGGCTGGCGGGGGCAAAGTCTTTGTCCCCCTGCCTGCCTTCCCAGGGGCTTTAAATTGCCCCGGACAGCGGAGAAGTCCTCCGCTGTCCCGGGGTGATTTTAAATGCCGCCCGCCAGCATTTTAAGATCGCCCGGACAGCGGAGAAGTCCTCCGCTGTCCCGGGGTTTTAAAATGCTGGGGGTGGGAAGAAAAGCCCTTGCCCCCCCCCCCAGCCTTCAGAAGAGGTCCGGGGACAGACTGTCCCCGGACCTGGTCTGAAGGCGGTTTCCCTAGGAACGCATTAATTGATTTTCAATGCATTCCTATGGGAAACCGTGCATCGCAAGACGAAAAACTCGCAAGACGAAGAGACTTGCGGAACGAATTAATTTCGTCTTGCGAGGCACCACTGTATTCGGGGAAATTTGCACAAAAATGCTGATGAATTTTCATGAGGTTTTTTTTTTTTTAATGAGCAAATGTGTAGAATGGAATTTAAGTTGGGGGAAATGGGAATCTGAGATATCTGAAATTGCCAGATCCTTCATCCCTATCTACTCCATGGAGGAGTATTCAAACATCCTGGCCTTTCTGCTGCTCCAACCTGGAGCTGGCACAGCAAAAAGAGTAAGAGAAATCTCTTTCCACAAGTGTCAGCAATCGGCATAATATATATAGTTTAAATTCATCCTAACTGAATCTCCTAAAGTAGGTAAAAAAATATAAATGGATAAAAACATATAATCACATGCATAAAACATCCTGTTTTATAAGACTATTGTGGCTACTGCTTCAGTAGAGGGTCCCTGCGCTCTTTTATGTTTCAAGTAACACAACTTTGGGATGTAGAAATCAGCGTCTGCATGAAAGCTCTTCCCATTAAAACAAATCCTCCACACTGTATAGCTTCATGTTTCTTTGCTCCCCTGAGGGCCCAGCTCTGCAGGTTGCAGAGCTTCTCTCTCTTCCCAACATGAAGAGACTTGAAGGTACTCAGCACCTGGAAGGATCAGCCCATGACTCAAATCACAACTCAAACACAACTTCCTTTCTTCAGTCCTGTTGCTTATTTATTAGAGAACTTCTTTTCGTAACAACAACAAACGTCTTCTAAAGGGGTTCATTTCTCTTTCTCTGGATTGTTTGAGGAGCATTAAGAGAGCTCTGCTGGATTTTCAGCCTCGGTTGGGACTCAAACTGCTCCTGTAAATGGGCTTCAAAAAGAATTTGCTGTATTGACATTTACAGCAAACCCTTCTGAAGTTTGATCGATGGGCAATTCTGCCCATCTGTCAAAGTTAGCATGTGTGGAGGGTGGAAATAAGAAGCCAGGTCCCAGTTCCCAGCTCCTGCTGCAAAGTGATGGTGACAGATGCGCATTTTTGAGGCCATTACCCAGAAGGCCCCCTCACAACACTCTTTCCCCCAAATTTGAAAACATCGGAACCACTTGGAGGTCCTCTTCTACTGACCTTAATTCCTGGGCTGGTCTATAAGGAAGGAGATGCTCTTTCATATATTTGGAGCCCAGATATTTTAAGGGCTTTCAATATCCATGTGAGCACTTTGAATTAGGACTGGAAGCTAATAGGCAACCAGTGCAGTTTCTTCAGTCCAGATGTCATATGCATTCTTGCATCCATCCCTGTCAAAATCTGGCTACTGCATTCGGCAACAACAGCAGCTTCCAAACAATTTCCAAGGGAAGCCCCACGTAGAGCGCACTGCAGTAGTCTAAGATACAGGACAAAGCTCCACATTTTGGAAATCCCCCCAAGGTGTCAATTCTGCCTTTGAAATCCCGGTAATGGATGTATGGCAGCTATAACATGGGATACAGGAGTAAAGTCATCTTTGTCCAAGAGGGTCTAGAATTGGTCTGGGACCTGGAAACAGGAACTCCTAAAAATGCATTATATTAGGGAAATGTCTTGCCAAAAATGTGTTTATTAGGCAAATTTGCATTAAAATGGTTTATCGGAAGATGGGTAAGTAAAATGCTGGTGAATTTTTGTCAGCGGACTGTTTGTTTCTTAACTTGCAAACTGCTGCATAGATGTAGCAAACTGAACAGAAGATCGGAAAAATGAGAAATTGAGAGTAACCAAAATTGACAGATCCAGCCATCTGTAGTTATCGCGTGCTTTTGATTTAACCAGGGTGTTAGGTGGGTGTGCAACCCAGATGTGCTAAGAGGCTTTCGCCAAATCTCTTCCGGCTTTATAAGACAAAAGTGACACCTTGAACTGTGCTCTGAGGCTTGTAAGGGGGCAATAAACTGTTTGCAACCATTAAAAATAAAGGACCCTGATGGGCAGGAAGTGGAATCTAAATTTATTTGCTACTTTAAAGGCAACATTTGATATTCCCTGAGACTACATAGATTAAACTAAAGATTTATGTTAATGCCAAGGATTAAAAGAATTTTAATAGTGTGCATAAAGATGTAAATGTGCTGTGTTTCATTTTCTTGCAGATGAATGTGCCATAAGGGAGCTGTAGATGGAAGAGAATGTATTCATATCCTGCAAATTGTAACATCTGGCTTAATTTTGCACTCATGTGTTCATTAAATATTAGTTGCCTTCCATTCGTGCATCCTTGAAATCACACTTTAATATGGAAAGATTTCCCTTCACCCTCTGTACTCCCAGAAGGCAACTGAAAACAGCTCCATAAAGCAATTTTTTACTAACCATATTTTTGTAAAATCCTATTTCTCTGTCTTCTCAAAAAAGGGTATCACAAAATCATCTATATTTTCCCCTTCTCGTTCTGTATCTGTGTGATGCAAACAAACACCTACACTCTTGTTGGAAACCCCCCCCCATAATAGATAAAATTATAATGGGATGGAGACAATTAAGGGGTGTATATATAACCAAGTGCAAGCAGGGGTGGAATTATTTGAAAATGTCTGTATCAAGCTTATCCACAGGTATTTTTTCTAATTTTTGTCTTGTGCCTTCATCTCAATGAAAGGTGAACAAATTGTTTTACTGGTTCCATTAAAGATATGAACAATGATCACTGGTTAAAAAACTGAGCCTGGATAGCTCATTTGGTTAGGCTGTGGTGCTGATAATACCAAGGTTGCAGGTTTGCTCCCCATATGGGACAGCTGCATATTCCTGCATTGCAGAGGGTTGGACTAGATGATCCTCAGGGTCCCTTCCAACTCTACAATTCTATGATTCTATATGCATTATTATACATATAATATTATATGTATATACACATTTCCTATAGCAACCAGCACATAAACATACTACTATATAAATATACTTATGTATGGATACTTATCAAATTATGCTGCAGATATTATAGCACCACGTAGAATGTGACTCTTCCATATGTATATAATTTTCTGTATAATTTTGCATATAATTAGCCAGAGTTTTTTATATATATAAAAAATGCACTGCACAACCCAACAATGCACTAGTGGCTTGGATATAGGTGAGTGCTTGATGCAAGAGGTGGTTTGGGGGACAAATCTTGATCGGATCAGAACTTCTAAATTCTGTGTGTAAACCCATTTAAATCTGATTTGTCTTCCTTCCCTAATTGTTAGCTATGTTCTATCATTCTTTCTTTTTTTACACTGCGAGTGTTCCATAGCTCTGCCTAGCATGTGCCATCAAGCTTTGCAGACTGAAGAATAAGCTGAAGGTGACAATTTTTCTTTATATTTATTAATTCCAAAATCATTTTTTAAAAACCCAACAACATGGATAGGAGTATTACTGCAAGGTTGATGATTCTTGAAAAACATAAGGGCACGTTGTGCTTCCAGAGTGTAGCAACGATTGTCCTGAATGTGGGAGTAAATTTAGGGTGGTTCTACATTAGAAACCTGTCTTGGTGTTATAACAGGTTAACTTCCCTGACTTCTGCCACAAAGAATCCTGGGAATTGTAGTCTGGGGTCCCTGCTGTCAACAGTCCCTATTTCCCACCCTCTCTGAACACACTTCTCAGGTTCCCCTGTGTGACCAGTGTAGGTACCTGTGGTGTAGATATGTCCTTAGCTTATTTGCCAATGGGTACAGTTTACTTGGAACTTATTTTACACAGACTTGCATATGAGGAACCACAACAGTAGCTCCCAGTGCCTCTGCCACTGTCAATACAGATCTTCAAAAGGCTTTGAGTAGTTAAACATCAGATAATCCATGTAATAGAAATCGTAGCTACGTTGCCTTTGAGAAGGGGAGAGCTGTTTGAAATATTGCTGTGTAATTTGGGTGGTTGTTCTCTCTTCATCAGAATGCCTGTCTTTAAACCTAGGAAAAGTCAAATTTTGTGGCGCATTTATTAAATGCAAAAAGAAGTTAGCATCTTCCTCCATGGTTTCAAATTTACCAATAAAATCATAGTCTATCAAGCACGGGCTGCAGAGCCTGTTGACATGGTCCCAGTGAATATCCATGCCCACAGGCCGGTGGACATCAAGAAGATATTGAATGAACTCTTTAAAGGTTACCCCAGAACCTGTCCTCAGTGCCTCCTTCGTGGCATTGACGCGGTACCTTGAAATGATGGGTCTGCCAAAAACCGGGTGGTAGTAATTGTTGGGATGCTCAAACTTGTCTCGAAACGCCGAGACCAATTTTTCAAAAGGTTCACGGACAAAGAGCATCTTCGTGTAAGTGTTCAGCCTGTGGTTGATCCCTTTGCGATCAAACCCATCCAACCTTTTCAGATAATTCCCATAATGCACCGTGTTGTGTTGTATGACCTTGGTCGAGGAGGCCAGTCCATTAAGGACCATGAGGACCCTTTTCCAGTTGGAGCAACCGGCCTTGGGAACCTCGCAGTATAAAATTCGGTACTTATCTTCAACGAAGATCCTGGAAACGTGATAAGGTGTGATGATCCTTTTGTTGTTGCTCTTGTATTTCGAGCAAGTCTCTCTCATGATCTGCTTTCGCTCTCTTTGGGTCTTGTAGAGGCTTTTCCACTTGACGTCATTCCTGTCCTCTGATTTCAAAATGGGCAGGTTGTGGAAGGAGCTGTTCACGGCTATCAGGATGGGGCTCTTTTTGATCACAAACCTCCTCCTCCGTTTATGAGTCCGGGCAGAATTAGCTCCTGCGCTTTTTGGGGAATGGTCTTTAATCACCACCAGGATGTTCTGCTTTCTGCTTGCGCCTTCTTCCAGGGCAGCTCCATTGGGCACGGGGTGTAGCGAAGCCTTCTGGTTCGCAATTGGGAATTTGTCAGCAGCATACAGAGGCATTTTCCCGTCCTGATTGTTGCTGGATGTGCAGTCCTAATGGAAGAAAAGGCCCAAGAAATTACTAAATGAGAGAGCATTCATCACCACGGACAGCTTGCAGTGTTTAATGGCTCATGCTATTTGTACCATTTTAGTTCAGCTTAACTATGGAAGGAAATGCATTGTCTTGCACGCAGCTTTGGCGCTGCAGTAATTATTTTTCACCTTTCTGCTTTTGAATGTATTCTTCTTAACTTGAGCATCACTTCTAGGGGCAAACCAGAAAGACCCAGCTAGGAAACATCTTTGTGGGTTTTTAAAATTTTGTTTCTTACTATGTTAGGTTCTCCCCCCCCCCCCCCGGTTTTATACTATAAACTGCCCTGTGATCCTCAGATGAAGGCAGTATAGAAATTCAATAAATAAGTAAGTTTGTGTGTGTGACCGCAAAAGGTTTTCCTCTAGTGGGTACCACCTGCTCACAATTGTATCCCAAAGTATGCTTTGACACTGATTCAGTGCTGAAGTGGAAATACCATACTTTTCTGTGTATATGATGCCCCCATGTATAAGACACCACCTATTTCGGGGGACTAAATTTAAAGAAAATGAGGGGAGATGGCCCAAAGTTGTTGAGCTTTTTTTCAGGGGGAATTGCACGTGTGCCATCACCCCAGCAGGGTCGTTGCTGGGGGTTGGCAAAGTGGGCAGCCGCTCCCCCCACGCCACTGCGGGCAGCAAGCTCCCTAGAGCGTGGGCCTCCCACAGCTTGCTCCCTATAGCACTATCCGTGTATAGGACGACCCCAGTTTTTTGACATGATTTTTGAGTAAAAAACCCTCATCTAATACACGGAAAAATACAGTAAATACTGTACTAGCAGTGTAGAACCACTTTGTATTGGGGCTGAATGATGAGGTGAATGGGGTAATTTCATTCCTATCTATGTCAAACAGCAATGTCAATGAAGCACTCTGAGTCAAATGAGCACCCCCCCTCCCAAGCCTCTCACTCTGTTTTTCCATACTTTTTACTGTTTTGTACACTAGATTTCTATGTTTTTCTGTGTCTCTGTGTTTCTCTACTCTAGGTCCATGGGCTTTGTGAGAAGTGAGCCTGTCTAAATGTTCCTGGTGGACCATCAAGGAGCTCTTGGTAATTTAAATTTTTTTACTTTGTTCAAGCCGAGTAGCAGCGGATTTTTTAAATACAAAAAAATCAGCTGAAAAGCTTCCTTTAACTTGTAGATAAAAAACAACAACACCCACTGCTCTGCTTGCAAAAAACCCCAAGTTCTGTCCTCCAGAGCACTTCAGCACCCCACAGGCAGCATTCAGGACAGCCTCACCTTGAAGATGCAGGCTAAAGGATATCCCCTCCCAAACACAAGCAAGTACTGGGAAAGCCTGGCTGGATGATATGTTGCTGCTCCTATTTATTTCTAATTATAAGGTTAATTTGGGGTTTCCTGCTTGGATGAAGCACCTTCAGTAAGACTAGAGAAACCTCACCATGATTTGGTGGCTCTTACCCAGGCATAGGCAAACTCGGCCCTCCAGATGTTTTGGGACTACAACTCCCATCATCCCCGTTAGCTAGGGATGATGGGAGTTGTAGTCCCAAAACATCTGGAGGGCCGAGTTTGCCTATGCCTGCTCTTACCAGATGTGCCTGCTGCCATCCATTCTGTTCAATAAGGAGGGCTGCACTCAGCTCAGTGGGAAGTGACTTTGTGCGTGGAGAATATACCTCTTGTGAAACAAAATGGGAAGCCTTTGCATATGTGGAGCTCTAGACCATGACTCAGATATTCAAAGTTGCCCAGATACCTTCACTGTGGGATGAGGGTGAAAGCGGGACCACTAGGCTGAGCTATTGCCTTCTGAAATCCTAGACATGCCTACTAAGACCAGCCGAGTTCTATTGGGCTTACCCTCCTCAGCAATTTTGGAAGAAAGATTGAATAGCATTGCATACGAGAACTGTGCTTGTTCGTGTGCACAGTGAAGAGTTCGAAACTACTACATGTGTTAACCACTGTGCAATTTTTACAGAGACGAGAAATTCAGATTTATTTGGCTCTTGATCATTCACGGAATCATATAATCGTCGAGTTGGAAGGGATCCCAAAGGACATCTAGTGCAACCCCCTGCAATGGAGGAGCCACAATTAAATAATCCAAGGCAAATGGTTTACAATTTTGACAGTAGGTTGAGCAGGGGAGTGTAAATGGATGGAGGACCTCTGCCCTCCTGCCCACCTTGCCAACAAGACCCAGCAGGGCTCTGAAAACAGGCTCAGCTCCCCTTGGTGGTTCTCCTTCCCCTTCAGGGTTGCAATTGCAGTGTGGTTTTCTTGTATTTTTGAAAGATTCTTTCCCCTTCAGTTGTATGGACTCAGTTGTTTTATGGAACTTGAAGGTCTGTGGGTATTTAATAAACGTGGACAACACAGCAGTAATGGGGTTATATGTGTGTACAGCAGCTGTCAGGTTGATGGCAGTCATAGTCAAAACATCTGGAGGTTGGCAAGGGTTGGGGCATAGGATTGCAGGTTTACATGTGCAGTCTGGCCCCTCTCCTGTGCCTCATTTCATTTGATTTTTCTTGAATCGCTCACTCTGCCAGGGCTCCCATGCATTTCCAGTTTATTGCTCTAGAAAGATGTGAGCCATCTGTGCAGACGGGCTTTTAACCAAATTGACACCTACTGACACCATAAGCTGGTCATTATGCAGAGTTCAGGATCATTCAGGTTTGCAATATATCATGACTCTGCTTATAAACCCACCGCTAGCATGTCATGATCAGCAGATATCTGCGACTGAATTTCTCCTTGTGCCGGTAAAATCTGCGCAACGCTCCCATAAATGTCAAAGGGGTTTTTACAGGACAGCTCATGCCGTTGCAAATAACCAAGAGCCACTAGATGGAGCAATTTCACCAAGGTTTTTCATGCCGGCAATTCTAAAGGAATTAAAAGTGGGTTTTTATTAGTTCAGTTTGATACATAATGTGGATATGCAAAATGTTCCCAGGCAAAGTGCATCAGATTTATCCATCCTAACAAGCTACCAACAAAGCTGCATTTCACTGGCCTAACAAATCGAGAGAATTTAATAAGAACATCTGTATTCTGGGGAATTGTGACGCCTCCTGCCTTCTTCAATCTCTCTTCCTCCAATCATTCTCTCGTCTCTAAGGCCATCGCGCACATCTCCCACCACCCTGCAATTCAGATCCGATTCAGATTATGCAGCTTCCCTAAAAACCTTTCAAAAGAGGCAACTTACTTTTTTGGGTTGCTGTGATCCCATGTTATATCTCAGACCTAAACAAAGAAAGAAAAGTATTATTACAAGCAGGAACTTGCAACAAAATACGGCAGTGTTTTCTCGTGCCTAATCAGAGTGTGTCTGGTCAGGATTCCAGCTTGCCATTCCCTTAGAGCAGGCATATCCCTCTTTTCCTCCTGCAGCCCCACTTTTGATTTTATTTTTCAGCTGACAGTCAACATTCTGTGGTTTCTGAGCATGCTCAGTCTTGTATTAGGCTACCCCCCTTTAAAAATATAATTTATAAAATATATATTTTTGCACTTCCACAAACAGTGTGGGTTCCCTGAACACACTGGTACCTTCCTCTTGTTTCTCAGTCGCCTCATTTTGCCTTCGATGAGAGTTCACTATTAGAGGGCATGATACACTTTAGAAGTGCCCACCCCATAACAGACCTATAGGGTGGGTAACTGACAAGTGAAAAAGGAAACCGGAGGTCCCAGCAATAACAAACACATCTAATTACAAAGAGACCCTAAGAAATGCACAACTTCTTTTTGCTGTGTCAATGAGGTGTATCAATCCCCCCCTTCAAATTAAATTAAATTTTGAATTGTTGCTATTATTACTTTATAAATTTCACACACATACATACATACCCCGCCCATCTGGCTGGGCTTCCCCAGCCACTGGGTGGCTTCCAACAAAAGATTAAAAATATATTAAAAAATTAGTCATTTAAAAACTTCCCTAAATAGGCTGTGTGGACAGCATAACACAGCACTGAATCAAAACTCATTCACAATTATGTCTATTATCTATTCATATATCTATGTTTACAGATTGCTCCCTCATATAAAAGATCAAGGCAGTGTGCAAGAAAGTACGCAAGGGCAATGAAATAATAAAATATCATAAAAACAATACAAATTAATCAAACGACATGCTGAAAAGCACAAAAGAGGTTTCTAAGACACATCTAAAAATGAGCTTCAAGCGTGTCTGCTGAATCTCTGCTGGAAGAGTATTCCACCGCATGGGATCAGTGACCAGTCGTTTAGTGGCCATTTCAGCCCTGCAGAGTCCCTTCAGGACAGTCACTGCCACGCCCCCTCACAGCCACAGCCCCTTTTAAGAGTATGCAATAATATTGATAATTAGGGATGCACTGAAACAATCAGTGCAGATCTCTATGTGCTGCCTTTCAGCTAGATCTACCATTTTCTGTGCATGTACGTGGGGAAAGGTGCTCCAATATTTTCCTTTGGAGTGGCTTAAGTTATGTTTTCCTTGAAGCTGCGTTGTAAGTAATACAACTTGTGTGCGCTATTCTTGAAATGGATGCCTCTTTTTGTTTCCAGTGTTCCTAAATGCTTAGCTTTTTTAAGTTTTTATCCAAATGCGATTTTGTTTTTAAACACAGTGTAAGGGAGTATATTGTATTTAATTATGGGGTATCAGAGTTTTTAGGGGGTTAACCAGGCTGGGATAGCTGGGATAGCAGGCTTGTTGGTTTCTGAATGTATGATGTAGATTTTTTCAATTTCGTTGTTCTGTATGGGACAATGATAAAAAAGATTATCGTATCGTATACAGAACAATTCCTCAGCGCCTTCTCCAGAGTGACCCTAGGAGCCAATCCTCAGGGGCCAACTCATCTCCTTTCACTCTGATTGGTTCCAATCAGTACAAAGGGTGAAAGACTTCTCAGTGGATTCTGCAGATCCAGGCCCCTCCTCCTCCCCCCCCTCTGTTGCATCCATATTTCTGCCAGCCAGTGGCGGAGCTTCATGCTCCAGCATTGGGGTGGGGTGGGGTGGAGAGCAGGCGGGGCGGGGCTGGTGTGCATCCGCGGGGCGGGGCATGCCACCTGCAGGGGCGTGGTGCCCCGCGTGGGTGAGGGTGCAGCCACAATGGCACCCAACCGGGATCTCGCTGCCAGGAGCGGTGCGCTCCCTCCGCACTCCTCTTCTTCCACCAGTGCTGCCAGCCCCCCCACTACTCTTAGCCCTGGGAGGAAAGCTCTTATTAGCACCAAAGGGAACCTTTTTTGGTGGGGGGGGGACGACTAAAGGCACTGGGGGAGCCTTTTTCCTGCCCTGCATGGTGTGCTGCCCCAACTCCCGAGGCTTCCAAATGCAAGAAAGCCCCTTGTTTTGCAAGCATATTTCTCACCCAGCCTCTTGTCATTTTGCAGCTCTTTGCAAACAGCATTTCCAGCCTACCTGCACCTAATTATCCCAGAGTCTGGATCATCATCCAGGGCCATTCAAAGACGCAAACTCCCCTGTATATAAATGGGATAATATTGTGCCAACAAATGTCTATCACGCAGTGGCAGCATCACACCAGGCAACGCTCCTCTCCTTCTTCGGCTTCGCTGCCTGCTAGTCTATTACAATGCAGGCATTGAGCGTGCTAACAAAGCCAACAAGATCCCTTATTTGCTGCTTGGAAGTGAATGCAGGAAGAGATAGAGAGAGATGGAGAGAATGTGTGACTTAAATTGCTTGAGGATTATGCAATCTGGCTGGCTTCTTTATGCATCTCTCTGGTAAGGATACGGCCACTTGTCACTGTCAGCGCTGCCTGAGCAAGCTTCAGTTTAATTAATGGGGCTTTGCAATCTCTAGACTTTTGACAAGGAGAACCGCGGGTCAACGCGCTGTTGCACAACAGCATGATAGCCTATTGATGGAAGAGCTAGGCTGCAGCTCAGTCCTATCAGACGTTTTTTAATTGGAGGCACTTTTCTTTGGTCTTGCTGCTGTGGGTGTGAAACCCGACCAGTGGCAGATCACACCCTCCAAAGCCACATGAACACATGAATCTGGATGACCCTCGGGTCTGGCTACAAATCGGGAGCTGCACCCAGTGTTGCATTCCATGGGATAGATACCCTCAGATGGTACCACGCTTTTTTCTGACCTTATTTCCACTTCTTGCACCCCTCCACAACCACAGAGCCTGGAATTAAGCATCACAACACATTTGCGGCTCCCACGCAAAGCAGCCGGTCTGCCTTGTGTGCTGGGTGTCAGGTGATGCCGCCATGCTGAGAGCCCCCCTGGGAGGGAGGGACAAATCTGTCAATCTTCGTTTCTCTTGGTTTCTAATTTTTCGACTCTTTAAGTTCAGTCTGCCATGTTTCTGCATGAGTTGGGGGGAGGGGAAGTCCTCACAAAAACCCAGCAGCATTTTAGTGTGCAGAAGTTTCTGGGAGTCAGAAACTCTGGCTATCTACTGAAAAAGCACCCGCAGATATACTACTACTACTACTAGTAATAATTTATTAGTTATACCCCGCTCATCTGACTGGGTTTCCCCAGCCACTCTGGGAGGCTCCAAAACAGAATATTAAAAACACAATAAAACATCAAACATTAAAAACTTCCCTAAACAGGGCTGCCTTCAGATCACTGGCGGAGGAAGACGAGTGTGGGGGGAGTGCACCACCCCTGGTAGCGCAATCCTGGTATGGTACCATCGTGGCTCCCCCCCCACGCTGGGTGCCACGCCCCTGCAGGCGGCGTGCCCCGCCCCCAGGATGAGTGCCCCGCCTCTGGGATGTGCACCAGCCCTGCCCCCGCCTGCTCTCCGTCCCCTGGTGCCACAGCATGAAGCTCCACCACTGCTTCAGATGTCTTCTAAAAGTCAGGTAGTTGTTTATTTCCTTGACATCTGGTGAGAGGGCTTTCCACAGGGCAGGCACCACTATAAAGAAGACCCTCTGCCTGGTTCCCTGTAACCTCACTTCTCGCAGTGAGGGAGCCATCAGAAGGCCCTTGGCGCTGGACCTCAGCGTCCGGGCAGAACGATGGGGGTGGAGACGCTCCTTCAGGTATACTGGGCCAAGGCTGTTTAGGGCTTTAAAGGCCAGCATCAACACTTTGCATTGTGCTCGGAAACGTACTGGGAGCCAGTGTAGTAGATGGTGCTCTACTTTTTGCCCACTCAGGTTTCTTGACAGCTTTGCTCAATAACAGCCTTGTTTGCCATGAAGACAGCCACCCATTCTGAAGTGGATGGCATTCTGAGGCATTTGTTTTGAGGATGGGTGTCTCCATCCTTTACCATGGATGCCTTCAATGTGTTTATTCATTTGTTCCATTTCTAAAGTGCCATCCATAAGTCAGGTTCCTGGGGTGCCTTATAATATTCTCATTTCAGCAATAATGATGCATATTAATAAAACAACTATTTAAATAATTGATACAAACATGGAATTTAAACAACCACCTTGTTAGAGCAAATGGATAAGTTCCTTTGCAGCAGGTCCAGTTTTCATCAAAGATCTGGGCCAAAAAGTACATATTTCAGGCGATGATGGAACCCCCCAGAAATGAAGCCAGCACCCATAATTCCAAGGGGAAGGAATTCCATTCATGGCATGCTGCTTCAGGAAGGCTAAACCCATTGGTGGGACAATGAGATGGGCTTCCTTTAGATGTCTCAGGAGATGCTTCCATCCCCAAGTCCCACAGTGGAGTCATATTTATTTTCATCTTATTTTTATCTACCACACTCTCAAAGCATATTTCTTCCTCTAAAGAATCCCATTAATTTGTCCCTTACAGAGTACAATTCCCTGAACCATTAGCAAACTACAGTTCCCATCATTATTATTTTTTGGGGGGGGAGTGATGTGCTCTAAAATGTGCTTTAAACGTGGCTGTGCATGCGGCCACCCTCACAAAAGAAAGGCTTAACAGAATTAAAGTAAAACAAGGTGACATCAATAGAAGTTAACTTAAACTCAAATAGATTGCATTTCCCCCCCTAGTTCTGAATTTCTCTAGCATATCACAGCATGCCCCTTTAAAAAAAGAAAGGCTGCCTTCTTTTAACAAACAGTCCCGCAGCAGGAAGGAAACTGTACTTGGTTGCTTAAAGGGAGGAAAAAGCATTGTGGTTTTGTTTTTTGTTTTTTTAAAATAACAATACCCTGAAGCTTTCAAACATTGGAGGCCAGCATGATGCCACTGCCCCATTCCAAGTTTGAGGAATGTTTGAAGACTGTGGAAAGGTGGGAATGGTTTGGATAAGGTTGTAGTTATTGTGTGAGGTAAGGCATGGAGCAGGGGTGTGGCATATCAGGCTTCCTGTGCACTGGTTGGAGGAGGGAGCAGAGAACCCCCAACAGAGGCAGCTTTTGGGAAGTGCTACCAGTTCTGCTGTACGCTGTACAGTTCTGCTGTACGCCGGCTCCCTTGGCCAATAAAGCGAGATGAGCGCCGCAACCCCAGAGTCGGTCACGACTGGACCTAATGGTCAGGGGTCCCTTTACCCTTTACCTTTACCAGTTCTGCTGCACTGGGAGCCAACACCAGAGGGGGCTGCAGAGCTCTGCAACAATAACTTAGTGAATTGAGTAAAAAGGAAGGTGAGAGGTGGTGGTGGGACCGAATTTTGTCCACACACAGGTTACTTCAAAGACCAAAGTTTGCCACTGTTCCCAGAATCCCCCTGCGCCAGTGATGATCCTGACCAGCTGCTTCTGAATGCAGGTTGCTGGAAGACACAGAAGGGAAGAGGGATCTTGTCCTTGAATCCTGCTTGCAGGTTTCTCACAAGCATCTGGTTGGCCACCCAGAGAACAGGATGCTGGACTAGATGGGCCATTGGCTTGATCCAGCAGGCTCTTCTTATGCTCTTATCAGTTCCTACTGGAGAGCCAGTTGTGTGTCACTGCCTGGTATATCTCCCCCGGTTCTGCTCGTCTTTGGTCTGAGGGAACAGTCATGCCAGAACCTTGTCCTTTCCATGCAACTAGGTACTGACTCGACAGCCTTTGGACCTGAACATGCTGGAAAGCAGGTTTGATTAATGACCAACTCTGACTTGGTTTGTGTTTGACCTGTCAGTTTAGTCCTTGGCAAGCAAGCCCTCCACTCTACTGATAAGAGAAACAGCAGTCACGACCACCAGCATGCTGCCCACTTGTGATGCATCAGAGGAAATTAATGGACTGAAGCAAGGAAGGTTAATAGATCCAGAAGGGCTCTGCACAGAGCTTTCATCAGAGGAAAGGGAAAAAAGTGCTTTCTGCATCTCCTCCACCCTTCAGTGTCATTTCAAGTGGCCAGTGACAATTCCATGGAGAGGCTGTTTCACAATGTGTCTTTAAAATAATGATTAAAATGCCTCAGGAGAAACCGATGGAAGCCAGCTTCCACTGAACACGAGAACACCAGAAGAGCCTTCTGGATCAGGCCAGTGGTCCATCTAGTCCAGATGCCATAAAGTGAAGCCTGCAAACAGAACTGGAGGACAAGGACACTCTCCCCTCCTGTGGCTTCCAGAAAGTGGTTCAGCTGCATTACTGCTTCCAGCCATGGCCCATCAATTTCAAGGGGTCTACTCTGAGTAAGTATTCTCTTTCCAGCAGCCACCAACTTCCTACGGCTTGGTGGGTGTCGCAAAACAGGTCTATAGTTTGGGTCCTTTGCATGTCGCAATTGAACCCTTTTATTTTAAGATTCTTTGATGGGATTTTCCCACCACCCCCTAAGACATTTATGGTCACTGAGCCTGTGCATACATTACATTAACAGTGCAAGATGATCACAGATGAGGAGGCCTTTTATTTCCCTGTGCAGAAGCAGCAGCAGTGTTGAGGAAGTCCTGAAACACGTTTGCTGGCCCCAAAGAACTTCTTGTCCAGCAGATGTAATCTGCGGCTGTTTTCCTTTCAGAGAAAGTTATTAATGTTTGCTGTTCACTCAAGGCTTTTACAGCTTCCTTTTTTTGGTAATTCTCACAGAGGCTTTCCTTTTTATTGCATTCTTCCTGTGAGAAACGCTGGGGAGGATCTTTTTTCTTTCTTTAATAGAGTTTACTTAACATTTGAATTGGAATCTAGGAGCATTTTCTGCTGATGAAAAGTGGAGAGGGCAGGAATAATAATATTTAGGCTACAGTCCAAAGCATACTTCTTGGGACCAAGCTCAATTGAGTGGATGGGACTAACCTCCCAGGAAATATTTCGTTAAGTTGCAACAGTGAGCACAGTGCAATAAGTCAAACCTTTTCAAACCCAAGATCTGGTTTCTTTTTTCTGAAACAGGGTACTCATTTCTTCTTCTTTACTTATTCAGAAGTAACACTGAACCACAATTACTGTATTTTTCCATCTATAAGATGTCCCCATGTATAAGACGCCCCCTATTTTTGAGGACTCAGATTTAAGGAAATGGGGGAGATGTATCCGCGTATAAGACACCCCCTAATTTTTGACATTATTTTTTAGGGGAAAAAACCTATGTCTTATACATGGAAAAATATGGTAAATGCTTTGTGAATTAGCCTTCAGTTTATTCACCTCCAGCTTCCATTTCATGATTTGATGTCCTTCCAATTTACTGACAAACCACCATCTGCTACTGCAGCCAAACTGTGCAAGTTATGATTTCTACAAACCATAGTTTACCCACAAAGCAAGATTAGGTGTTGTCTGCAGGCTTGGTTTGCAGACAGATTATGACTTGTGTAAAGCTTAGTTTTGTGGGTTGGTTGTAATAAGAAAATATAGTTTATTGCTGAACCAGAAGTGATGGAGGAAATGGGAGCATTTGCGGGGATGATGGAGGCAAAGAGCTGGTGGGAGGGTACCAGTCCTGCTGGTCAGATCCACTGACAGGGGGTATGCTACAAAGGGCTTTCAACAGCGCCAGCAAAGGGCATCAAATCTGACTTAAGTGTTAGGCTCAATGGCAAGAAGTGGCACATACGACCACAGGGGCAATGGAGAAGTAAGATCCTGCCAGCCCAGCCTCCTGGATGGAGGTCCTTCCCAAGGAAGGACTCTTTCATCCAGGGATAGCTAAACTAGGACCATCCAACTTTTGCCTAACTACAATTCACATCAGCCCCATCAACCCGTTTAAAATTGGTTACTGACTTTTCTTCTCAAGGGTATCCCAGAGTGCTCTCACTGAGAAGATATACTTCTGTTGTAGACTGACCAACAATGTCTCTTTGGATCATCTTAAGATCGTCTTGGTGTGTGCTGAGGGAAGCAGTGATCCCAAGTTGCTTAGGGCCTTAGATTTCAACCGCAAAGCTCTGAAGCAGGCTCCATATCTGACAGGCAACCAGTGCAGTTCTTTCAACAGTAAAGCAATGTGTGAGAAACTGGGCACCCCCTGGGCTTCTAGCAGTTGCATATGAATTAGCTGCAGCTTCTAAACCAGATGCAAGAAGTAGTCCCTCATACAGTGCATTGCAACCATCTAAATGTAAGGTTACGAATGCATGGTCCACTGTGGTAAGACTAACTGGTTGCAGCTGGTGAACAAACTAAAGCTGGCAATGGGTGCTCCACTGATGTTGTCCTTAGCATTTCTTGGGGGGGGGGGGAATCAGTTAAATTTCCCTTGCACTTAATTACACCCAATCATGCCATTAGGCATTCGACTCTGATTAGTAATCAGCATTATAATACTATTAACATAATTTTTTTTAATATTGTGTTTAAATGTTGTAACCCACCCTGGGACCCTAGGGTGAAGGTCGAGTAATTAATAATAATAGCAACCACAATCCTGTTCATGGTGTGATCCTTGATTGGCTGGGCTCACCAATGTGATTAACAGGGGAAAGAAAAGTTTCAGTCCCATCAAAATTGCTATTTTCTGTCTGAAAACAGAGTGTATTTCATACATGACACAAGTTAAAGATGGACTACTCAAAACATACATGGGCAAGTTTAATTAAAAGACTTTGACAAGCTTCCTGGCAGATATCACAGCTTGTTTGTTTTTCTTGCTTACATTTTTAGGCATCCTAATGAGAGAGTGACATTTCCTAGACTTAATTGATATTTACTAAGAATTCTGCAATGAGAGCTGAAAAGCCAGTCTGAGGCTCTTCTGTCCCCCAGTCCCACCATGGCCCTATCTCTGGGAATATCACTAATTAGCATCATTAGCGTTCAAGCTCTGTCAGCACTTACCATACTTGGGGTTTGTACTTAACACATTTCAGTTATTCTCCACTGTCACATTTGATATTTGCAGAAATACAGCCTTCTGAGAAAGCATGACTTTAACAAGGCACCAGCCTTCCTTCAGGTTATTACTATTTTTATTACCCAACCGTCGGTCTTAACTGGAACCTGTGCAGAGCCTAGACTGGCTTGTGGAGGCACAGCTTGGAAGGGTGGGGAAGCAAATCCTCCCCTTTGGTCCTTCTTGGTACAGGCAGGCATGATGGGCGGAGTCATGAGCCTGGCTTCTTGCCAGGAAAGGAGCTGCACAGAGAAGCGAGTGTAAAAGCTACGTCTGCCACCACCTTTTGGTTCTGGGCATCCAATACCCCCTACTTTCTGTGGTCCAGCAGATACTCCTCAGCACGGCCTTCTGAGACCAGTTCTCCAAGAAGGATCGGAGCCACCATAACGCTATGCTTCCCAGTCCCAAACCAGACAAAAGGATACAAGAAAAAGATCCAAAGGGTTGATGCTGTCAAAGTTGTTGAGAGCCCCAGGAGAACCAACAGGGTCAGACTCCCCACCTGCATGCATTCCCCAGCATAAGTCACCCACCAAACAGACCAAGGCTGTTTCTGTTTCAGACCTGGGTCTGCAGCAAGACTGGAAAGATTTAGTTATGTCTTTATATTACTTACTAGGGGAGCTCTGCCCCACTGCTTACTGGCCCATTGGCAGTATCCTGTCCTCATGGAGAGTGCTGAAAACCTCTCATGGGCCCCAGATGCTTGTGGTCTATACTAGGAGTCAGCTTGAAGGCAATGTACTTTAGGCTTTCCAGCAGAGTTTGGAGATATAGGGACCAATGGTGGCATAAAGTCCTCCCTTTGCCCACTGGTGTACGAACGGAGGGGAGGCAGGGGAGCGCACCGCCCCAGGCACCATTTGGGGAAAGGATGCCATCACGACCACCCCCCCGGGATGTGCACCGCATGCCGCGCCCTCCAGGGACGTACGCCGCACACCGTGCAATCCCGGACATGTACCACGCCCCTGCAGGTGATGTGCCACGCCCTTGCGCCGCTTGCCACGTCCCCAGATGATGTGGCACTCCCCTGGGACTCGTGCCAGCCACACCTCCACCTGTTCTTCGCTCCGGGGGCTGCAGCATGTTGCTCCGCCACTGCCTTTGCCCTCCGGCAAGACTTCCTGGCTGCTGCAGGCTTTCCTTCTATCTGCTGGTTCCTAGTAGTAGCAGACAAGGAAGGGTTAATACTCCACCCGCTCTACAAACCACTCTGTCCTGAAGCTGCTCTGCACCAGTACTTTGACTTATAGAAATGTGAGGTGCTATCTTACACCAGGTCAGACAATTTTTTTTTTGCACATCTAGTGCAGCATCGCCTACTCTGACTGGCAGCACCTGCTCTCTGGTGCCTAAGCCTTTTGCAGGTGTTTGCTTGCATAGCTGAGTTGGCTGGTATTCTGCCATGGAGAAAGCGAGATGAGCCGGGTGGTGCGAGCCTCCCCTGAATGCCAGAGCTAGCTGGAATGCAAACTAGTCAGATGTCATTATTTTCCCAAACATCTGCTGGAGCCAAGAGGCACATCACCAGGCAGGCCTCCATCACCAAGGTGGCAGCTCCGAGGCCTCTTCCGGGAGGCATCCTCATCCTCCTGGCTGCCTTCCCCCTGCATTGGTGCCTCTGCTCTGCAAATGTCAGTCCCAAGTTCTGGACTGACAAGTACCAAGCAGGTACTTGCCTCCAAGGCCCACTGCCATCCAGTTCACCTGCTGCAAGCAATCCATTTCAGGGGGATGCAACTGCCCATCAAAGTAGAGCCTAGACAGATGCAGAGATAAAGAAGGAGGCTGGGCCAGAGCTGTGAGATGAAGAGAGGCAGAATCCAGCCCTACCTTCCTCAGCCAAGTGTGAAACATGCATCCTTTTTTGCCATTGCAAAGGAGAATACTGGGGGGAATTCAAAGCTATCAGCCTTTGGTGTGTGATAGATTTTCCCCATTAAGACTTCTTCGGCTATGTAATCACAAGAATATTTTACATGCCTGTGCCCATCTGTTTGTGAATAAGTCCAGCTGAAAGCACCTGCCCCTTGCTTAAGCACCCGTGGGACTGACACTCGCTAGGAAGAGAGAAATAGACCAGGTTTCCCCAACTTGGTGCCCTCCAGCAGTTTTGGACTATGACTCCTCATCAGCACCAGCCAGCACAGCATTTTCTCTAGAGCAACTGTATTTATACACCATGGTTTAGAACAGGGGTCAGCAAACTTTTTCAGCAGGGGGCCGGTCCACTGTCCCTCAGACCTTGTGGGGGGCCAGACTATATTTGGGGGGGGGGGAAATGAACGAATTCCTATGCCCCACAAATAATCCAGAGATGCATTTTAAATAAAATGACACATTCTACTCATGTAAAAACACGCTGATTCCCAGACTGTCCGCAGGGCAGATTTAGAAGGCGATTGGGCCGGATACGGCCCCCGGGCCTTAGTTTGCCTACCCATAGTTTAGACAGTCACTCTCGGATTCTCCTTCTTTGAGGAAGGAGCTGTGAATTTGGAAGTCCTGGCCAGTTCAAAGGTTCCCTCTCTGACATGAAAACACTATGAATTCTCTACCTCTCACATAGGCAATATGGGAAAATGATAGGACCCATTTTAGAGAGAAAGAAAACTGTGTCCCTCTCTCCACTACTTGTCACCAAGCGATTATTGATGGAAAAAATCTTGTCCATTCCTGCTCTGAGATACTCTATAAATGGCAAGCACACACACTTCCCCCAGTTACAACTTCATATCTGATTAAATAGGTTGTTGCAGATGAAAGCCTATGCCCATTTCACAGCCAAAAGCCTGTAAAATTTAGTCTCCAGGTGCCTGTGAAGGCTCCCCGCCCCTTCACATTATAGAAAAGTAACATGGCTTTCACATTTTATTATGTTGGTCACTGTATGGTAATTATGGTAATGGCTGTTTGTACTGCTCCTACCTGCAGAAGCTCTGTTCCTGCATGCTACTCCCGAACTCCATTCGCATTGCTACACTATATTACCAGTCAGACATTCTTCCTAGGCAGAGATATTTCTTTAAAAGATGAAGCACTCCATTAGTCGAGTGTGTATTTTACACAAGGCAATTCAATATTGCTGCTTTTTAAAAATACCTCCTCGTGGTATGCAATGGAATATTGATTAAACCTTAAGGCTGATTGTGGCAACGTGGTGCTCATGAGGCAACCACTTTTCAGTACCTACCTAATAATGTATGGTTGCAAACCTGGAGCCCAGCACCGAGGAAGAGAGACCTTGGTGTATCACAGCTCTGCTGCCCAGGTGTCTGTGGCAGGACATGGCGAGCATTTTTTGTTTTGTTTTAAAATACAAGTTTCCAAACCTCATTATAACCTTGTTTGAAATACGGATTTGTTCAGCTTGTAATGCCCTGGTGTGGTATGAATCAAGCAGTATTTTCTTTCAGAACACTTGTCTACTGCCTGGAATTTAAAACAATATCCTGCGCATACGTACAGAGTGTTTTTTAAATGCAACTCTACTTTTTGAGCAAGTCCTGGACACTGACTGCTGCTCAGTCAGAGCTCAGACTCTCTGAAGACTTACAAAATCTTCCGGAGGGAGGAGTTGTGTCTGAGCTATTTCTGAGACAATTAGTGCCTGGGATTTATTTAAAAATAGATGGTATAGGGCAGCCAGGATGACTTAGAATGCAGGGTGGGGCTCTCTCCCCTTCAAGTATTCTCCAGCGATCTACCTCCCTTTCAAGGGTTCTCCAGGGATGCCTCACTCCACCTAATGGTAAGGCCAGCCATGGCTGGAGAGTGAGGTTTGGTGGCCTGGAGGGCAAATTGGGTATTCTTCTAAGGCTCAGATTTTAATCCAAGTCGGAGAAGAATATGGGACTTGTAAAGCTCTCATTCTCCTTTTAGGTACGCATCACAAGCCCCCTAAGCTTGCAGCTCAGAGAAGTCAATCAACACCTATCTGTATCAGCTTTTCAACAATATCACTTTGCATCTCTGTCAAGCTTTGCAGGAGGGAATCCCTCATGCAGAATGCTTGGCATCAGCAAGGCAGTGCTGGCTGTAGTTGATGGGAGCTGATGGTTGGCAGAGACTGTGCTAAGGTTTCTGGGTTTAATATAGTCAAATAGAGATTTGCTGAGTCTGTTCTCTCTTTGCCAGGAACAAGATGCCTGTTTCTTGTGTACATAAGGAGCTGTGTCTGGTCTAAGATGCGTTTTCAGTAGCCACCCAATCCTTGGTGACTGTATTCTGTTCCAACTGTTTTCAATTTTCAGTTGTTGTAACCCAACTTGAGACCTGCTGGTAATAAATTTAATAATATGAATATGAATAATAATAATAGGAAAAAAACTGGATATCCTCCTTCTATCAACCCTCAGCTTTTCCTTGATTAGGGTTACTTGCAATGTTGAGTACAAGCCAATAATCTCTTGCAGGATGTGCTCACCATTTTCATTGGTTTGCGACGGTTGACTTAGCAGCCAGCTCAGAATTGATTGCATGCAGGGACAGTGTGAACGTTTCGGTTTTAAGAAAAAAGTAGAACTCTATCTTTGGCCCAAGTTGCAGAGTAAAATGGGTTGCTACCCTACTTTATGCTTTCTGATATACAGTAAAGGATACACACAGGTTAATTTTGATGTTGTTAGAGGGATCAGAGTTAGACAGCGAGTCGAATTGTGATAGGCTAACTTTCATGTTCTGTTCCCAACACATTTAATCTATAATGTTCCTTTACTTACAGTGCATCAATTAGGTTTATTGATAAATATTTTCTCTTGCATTTGCCAGTCAATACAGTCCACATCTTTGCGATGTACTTTCCCCCCATCGTTCTTTTTCTCTTTGACCCAACACAAGTTGTGGTCTTGTTACCTTGTGGTCAATATCACATTGAAAACAAATGTACCATGTTGCCTTGGCTTCAGGTGCTCTGGAATGCCTAACATACAGTGACAAGGAGAACACAAGAACATAAGATGACCCTGCTGGATCTGGCCACTGGCCCATATAGTCCGGCATCTAGTCTGGCCAACCAGATGCCTACAAGAAGGCTTAAGACAGCATTGCTGCCTCTGACCTTGGAGGCTGAGCATAGTTATCATGGCTAGTAGCCACTGATAGCTACCATTCCTTCATGAATTTGTCCAGTTTTCTTTTAATGCCACCCAAGTTGGTGGAGACATGGGTTGGCTGCTCTGGAAGCAAACAAACCATATCAAAGCAAGAAAGGCAGGGCCTCAGGTAGCAGGACCCACAGGATCCACAAAGATGTCGATCTTTCTTCCCCTCTTGTTCCTGATGTAGATCTTCATGCACCCTTTCTTCCCTGTTGGGGAGGGGGACACCATTTTGTGGTTCACCTCAGATGCAAAAATGTCTGCAGAAAGCAGTGAGTGAGGACTGTACAGTATTGGATCTGAGCATGATGCCTGAGCAAGCAATGACAACAGGAATAGGTGGTGCAGGACTAGTCCCACCCCACAGAAGAAAGCATCTAAGTCCGAGCTGAAGACACTTGCAAGCTTCCCCATGACCAGGAACCAGCTTTGCTATCTGATTCTAAGCATGTTCAGCTGAATACTTTTAATGGGGCACTTCAGAGCATCCTCTGCAAGGGAGGAAGGAGGGAGCCGAGCGGATCGTGCTGGTGCATGTGGGGATAAATGCGATGTTTCGGCACCTATTGAAGAAGGTTGCTTAAGCAGGATTTCCCTGAAGTGTGACCCAGCCTCTTACTGAATATCAATTGTACAACCGTTGATGTGAAAGATAAAAGACAGGACAGATAAAAGAAAGTCATTCTTCACTTAGTGCATAATTAAACTAGGGAACTCGCTCCCACAGGAGGCAGTGATGGACACCAGTATGGATGGCTTTAAAGAGGATTGGGTAGAATCATGGAATATAAGGAGATCAACAGGTACTAGCATTGACGACTATGCTCTGCCTCTATAGTAAGGCAGCAATACTTCTGAATACCAGTTGCTGGAAGTCACAGGAGGGGAGAGGGCTCTTGTGCTTGGGTCTGCTTGCGGGTTTCCCATGGAGGCATTTGGTTGGCCACTGTCAGAACAGGATGCTGGACTCGATGGGCCCCCTTTGGGCTGATCCAGCAGGCTCTCCTAACGTTCTTACATTAGAAGTAGTTTAATTGTTTTTAGCATTTGTAGAGATGGGTGTTGCTATTTTAGAACTTGCAATTTTGATATTTTTTCCTCATTTGTTTTAAACAATTAATCTTTATTATATTTATGATTATAATCTTTTTGTATACTGCTTCCATGGCTTCAGGATATAAAGCAGTCTGTAAAATAAATAAATGAGTGTTGGGGGCAGGATTTGACTCGGGGTGGAGAAGGTGTGGACTCGGGGTGGAGAAGCAACATCTGGCCCTCCAGATGTTGTTGTTATTATTATAGTAGTACCTTGGTTCTCGAAGTCCATTCGACTCCTGAAATGGTTCGAAAACCAAGGTGCAGCTTCCGATTGGCTGCAGGAGCTTCCTGCACTCAAGCAGAAGTTGCGTTGGATGTTCGGCTTCCGAAAAATGTTCACAAACCAGAACACTTACTTTCAGGTTTGCAGTGTTTGGGAGCAGATTTGTTTGACAACTAAGCCGTTCGAGAACCAAGGTACCACTGTATATTTATTCATATCCCACTTTTACCCTAGACAGGGACTCAAGGAAGCTTATAGGTAAAGACAAAGAAAACAAACATAATTAAAGTGCAATTAAATGTTAATGGTCTGTCTATCTATCTATATCTATCTATCATCTATCTATCTATCATCTATCATTATCTATGATAATCACAATGAAAACATGCTTGCTGCAGGGGCTGATGGGAGTTGTAGTTCAGCAACATCTCTGGAGGGCCAAAGCTTCCCCACTCCTGGAGTAATCTGTTATACCTGGGTAGAGCAGTTTCTGTAAAGCACTTTGAGGTGTTTTTTTTTAATGTAATCAAGCAGTATATAAAGCTTGTGAAATACATACATAAATAAAATTTCAGGAAATGCAAGGGAGATGTACACTGCTCACACGAAATATAAAATGGCATTAAAATGGGTGTGCAAAAAAGTGAATAAGTGTATTGCTCTGAATGTAAGAGTTGTGAAACTCAGGACTCAGCTATACAGCTGCAAATAAAATGTTTTAAGTGTGTTATAAGTGCAATATACAATGCGACACTAGATGGTAAGCCTTATGGAAAATTCAATGTATTTTAAAAAAAACTTTTAAAAAAGCATTTTCAGAACGTTTTTTACATCTGTGTACATTTCACCTCACAGTCCTTCAGATGAATAACTTGAAACCCCTTGTGTAAATCATTTATATAAATAATGTAAATAATTTAATTGCTGTCTTGTTTTAACGGGATTGTTTCACTACATATTTTAATTATGGATGTTTATATTTTAGCATTCTAAGGGGATTGCTGTAATGTGTATTTTAATTACGGATGTTTGCATATCAATGTTTGTTTCTTTGGTTTTATACCAAAGCCTAGCTACTCTCTCTCTCTCTCTCTCTCTCTCTCTCTCTCAGACCCAAATTCATAAAAATAACATCAAAGCAGTTTACCATGATGTGCTTCTACCTGGAATGCTATTATTTATGCATGGAGAACATCCTGTTCTACGAGGAACATTGGAACTTTCTCTCTGCCACCTAAAGTTTTTACAGTGGTACCTCTGGTTACAAACTTAATTCGTTCTGGAGGTCCTTTCTTAACCTGAAACTATTCTTAACCTGAGGCGTGCTTTCACCTCCTGCTACCACCGCGCCACCAGAGCATGGCTTCTGCTTGCATCCTGAGGCAAAGTTCGCTACCAGGAAACCTACTTCTGGGTTGGCAGAGCTTGTTACCCGAAGCGTTTGTAAGAAGGACGGTACGTAACCCAAGATTCCACTGTATTATGAGATGAGTTACTTGTCTACACTGAATGAATCTGAACCTGTCTAGACTAGGCCTAATAAAGTTTTTATATGACTGTGTTGCTACATACAGGGCTATACTGGCTGAAGTCGATCTTTCTAAGAACATAAGAAGATCCTGTTAGATCAGGCCAACATTCTGTCCTCACAGTAGCCAACCACAGGCCTGTGAGAAACCCGAGAGCAGGACTCAAGCGCAACAGCATTCTCCCCTCCTCTGGTTTCCAGCAACTGGTCGTCAGAGACATACTGCCTTCCACAGTGCACAATGGCATAGCTTTCATCATAGCTAGTAGCCACTGACAGCCTCCATGAATTTGTCCGGTCCTCTTTAAAAGCCATCCAAGTTGGTGGCCATCATTGCCTCTGGTGGGATCCAGTTCCATGACTATGCACTGCTTGAAGACAGACTTTCTTTTATCTGTCCTGAATTTTGGGGGAGTTGCGGCACATGTGCAGTCATGTTCAGTGCTATTTACGGTAAATTGCTAGAAGAATAACTTGATTGTTGTTGGAAAGTACCATTCTAAACATGTGATACAGAGATAGTAAAACTGTGACCAACCTCTTTGTTAATGTATTTGCTAGTTCTCCTTGCGTCTGAGTTATGGCAAATTCAAATATAGAAATTTAGTAGCAAAAAGATGTCAAATTTTCCTCATTTCCCCTACATTAAGAAGACAGTAATAGCCACCCAGTTGACAGCAATGTGTTGGGCAAATGCCACATGCGTGAGCCTTGTAATGGCTGTCAGGAACTTCAGACATGATTGCCAAGCTCTGCAAACTAAAAACTGGAAATCACCGAGGGAAAGCCTTGTTTATATGTGTCAGTATTCCTAGAAAGCTCCTGGAGAATGCCTTAAATATGAGGCCCCCACATACATCAAGATGTACAGGATTTGCATACAAGGAAGAAATAATTTGTCCCCTCCCCACCAATTTAAATTTAAATAGTTTGATCACAGGAAATGAGAAAGTGATTGTACAAAGCATGAATTTTCTTTGCAATTCTCCTAAGAGAACAATTCCTGTTCCTTCTTAACTGAAATCAAATGAGCATCTTTGTTTTCCAAAACCAGCTTAGCTGTTAGCTTGGACTGATAGTTTATGACTTCTTCAGCTATATCTATGAAACAGGCACATTTCTTCTTTCCCCAACTGTGGTCTTGGGGAAAAGACTCCAAATCTTCTCTCTGCTTGGTAGAATACTTGGTTTTGGTGCCAGTTTTTAGAACTTTTCTTGTTTAATGTTGCAGAGCAGCTTTCAAATCCAGCATAAAGTAAGTTTTCATAGACATAGAACTAACAAAATCAAAATGGAAAGAATTCTGCTTTCTGGGTAACATGAGGATGAGTGTTCCAAATGGAATATATTCCCCTCCCCATAAAATTCAGTTATGAGGTATTTGTCATCTTTGCAGATTGATAAACTGCTTCACAGGGAAAGTTACCGAAGTGATGTACAATAAGATAAGAGAAGAAAAAAGATAAAATAGAAAAGATTTCAAATTTAGCAAACTAAAAGCAAGAAGAAGAAGAAGAAGAAGAAGAAGAAGAAGAAGAAGAAGAGGAGGAGGAGTTTGGATTTGATATCCCACTTTATCACTTCCCTAAGGAGTCTCAAAGCGGCTAAAAATCTCCTTTCCCTTCCTCCCCCACAATAAACACTCTGTGAGGTGAGTGGGGCTGAGAGATTTCAGAGAAGTGTGACTGGCCCAAGGTCACCCAGCAGCTGCATGTGGAGGAGCGGGGATGCGAACCCGGTTCACCAGATTACGAGTCCGCCGCTCTTAACCACTACACCACACTGGCTCAATAAAACTATTGTTTGCAGCAAAACAAAAATAATAATCTTGTAGCATCATAAAGACTAGCAAATTTGTTATGGCATGTTTGCAAAGACCACAGGCAGCTTCACCAAATGAAGGAAGTGTCAACTGGAAAGTGTGGCGTGGAGAAACTCTGAATGAGACGTTGCTTTAGCAATGAAGCAGCTCAGACTGGGAACTGATATAGATGCTGGAGGTCCATCCCTTGCCACCTGCTTCTATTTCTTACTCGTTACTCAGGCAATTCACAACTTAATGCACATTTAACTTGTGCACATTCAGCTTTATGAATTTGGCAAATTAAAAAATAAAATAAAAGTGGGCAAACAGGGGATGGGCATCAAGGAAAAACCCACACATTTGGCAATCTCACCCGCCACTGAACCCAATGTGTTTTGACCATACATGATTTTGGCCTTATGCACTATCCCAAAACCGTAACCCCCGTGTAAATTGAGAGTTGCCTGTAATTTATTTCTATGCTGCCTTTTGCCCACAAAAGGCTCATGAGATAGTTTGAAGTCTGGACAGGGCTGAACACTGACAGTACTGCTTTTATGAGTTTGGCCAGCTTGAACACTTATATATCTAGCTTGATGTCTCTTATTGACTGAATGGGTAATTCACCTGGAGAGTGAGTCTGAGCACAATGCTCTTGAAAGCTTCCAGAGACACAGAAATTCCTATGAATTTCCACTTGAAAAACGAGGAACTGTCATAAACCAAAATCAAGAGATTTGGCTATTCCTAGTTTCTGGGCTGTCTTCAAAAGCAGCTCCATGTCCAATGCATTGCTGTCATGCGTCATTCCAGGCTCTGCATGTTCCTTAGTTGTCACAAATCTATTTGACCTGGTTATCATGGCTATTCCCAAATATGCCTGCTTTGTTGATTGATTGATGGTTCAGTTGAGGGGTTACAGGAGGGGGTAAATCCCACTGAGGCAGATCCTCAAAAGTGCCACAACTTAGTATAAGAAGAATTTTTCCCTAGACAACAGGCCCAGCCCTGGAAGCTGACCTAAGAGTTATGCAAAGAGTTCCTAGTTCTGTCTAAGTTGGCGAAGCAGGGGACTATGTTTGGTCCATGATCTCAACAGAGATGTCTCCTCTCTTGTGGTAGGACAAAGAAGGGAGGAGCTAGAAATGAGGTCAGCAGTCCTGAGCAGTCTAACTTCAGAAGGAAGGTCAGCACTGGTTAGGTCTAGGAAGCTTGGAGGTTCCACTTGCTATCCACCTTTCACCCACCAGCCTTAATACAAGCTGAGCTGCATCCCAACACTTCCAACAGAAAAGGCAGCTCAGCAGCGGTGCTGTCCATAGGAAAAAACGACAACTGCCCCTCGCCCCCCAGGCGGGATGAATTGCACTGAGTTTTGATCTGCGGTTACAGTCAACTTTTGGTAATGTGCTCAAATTACTTTAACGGCCTGCATCTGAAGGCGCCAAGTGGGTTTATGCTTTCACTTGTAGCCCATTATTTCTTTATTGATTTTTGCAGATCTACAGCTCTTTAAAATGTCATTAGGTGGATATAAAAAGGAAAATGCTGACGACAGCTCAGCTTACCCGTACAGCCAACTATGAGCTTTTAAAATATATAAATAAAATAAAATTTTTGTATCGCAAGTAGAGGGGGCTCATCATTCTGCTGCATTCAGCAATCCCCAGAAACCATACCAATTCCTCCAAGTTTAGAAGGCCTCCCTGGCCACAGACATACCTAGTGTTTCAGGTACGTTATCTAAGCAATCTTCACAACAGTGCTGTAAGGAAGACCACTATTGTTGCTCTCTCTGCCTCAAGAGAGCTCTTACAGTACACAGGCTTGTTGGACTTACAGCAGAGGGGACCTGGGTTCAAATCCCTGCTTAGCCAGTAAGTCGACTGCGTGGCCTTGGCCAGCCATAGTCTTTCTGACTGACTTATATTGTCGTGAGGGTAAAGCAGTGGAGGGAGTCTATGAGCGAAAGGCTGAGCTCCTTGATGGAATTGCAGGGTAAAAATGTAATGATGCTCAATTAAAAAAATAATAGTTCAGATGGCCTAGGCTCAGGCTGAGAGATGGGAGATTGGCTAAAGCTTCCTCATCAGCACGTGGCTCATAGAGATGAATTTGGTTTGCATTAAAACGCAAGCTTACCTAATTCGCACTTCCCAGAACCATACCTAAACCAAAATTCAGATATCGTTCAAAGTTCTATGGCTTTCACAAACTAGTTTTGCAATGAAAAAAATGTGTACAGAGGTGTGTCTACTAGGGGAAAGTGCCCAGTATTGTGGAATACTCTATTATACCCCACAAGTATCCTGGGGAAAAATGGGATATCCTGTTTCCTCACATGAGAGCACCACAGCCATTTTGGGTGCTGTGATGTTGCACAGTTTTGTGCCGAGATCTCACCCCGAAAAAGTGCTCCCCTTCGAAAAAAGTGTATTGTGCAGTGCCATGCCAGTGTGGCCCTGAGAGAAAGCACAACTTTTGGGCTCTGTGATCTTGCGCTGGTCACATGACTCGTGCAGGAGCATGGGCAGGAAGACGTGTGTTCTGATTTTGGGACTCAATATGTTAGAAGGTATGCTCTGTCAATAGAGATTCAGTAGGCACCTTCTATTGCAACATTTAAATTCCTGCTGAAAACATTTATATTCTGTCAGGCCTATGCAGGCAATTGAGAAGGCCTTTCCACAATAGTTAGACAATCTCTTATTTTAACTATTTAATATGGTTTTTATTGTATAGTTTCATGTACTATTGTTGTAATCCACTGTGATATTTTTAATGGATAGCGGTGTGGAAATATTTGTTAACTAACTAACTAACTAACTAACTAACTAACTACAGTGGTACCTTGGTTTTTGAATGTAATCCATTCTGGAAGACTGTTCGAGTTCTGAAACATTTGAAAACTGAAAACTCAAAGCTGACAGCTATGCCTCAGGGTCTTGTATTCAAGTGGAGCCATGTGGCATGTTCAACTTCTGAGGCATGTTTGAAAACTGAAGCATTTACTTCTGGGTTTATGGTGTTCGAAAACCAAAATGTTTGCCAACGGAGATGTTCGAAAACTGAGGTACCGCTGTAACTAATTGTAACCAACTAACATTTTATACCTCACCCTTCCTCCCAAAGGACCCCAGGGTGGCAAACATATCAATAACAACTGTCAGGGGTTCAGGAGCAGAGGCAAGGGCAAGGGAGGAAACAGAGAGCGAGGGGGAGGAGGCAGAAGAAAAGATGAGTGATGACGACGACCCGAGATCTCCGAGTCTTTCCAGTGAATCAGAAGATTCACAGAAAGGAGCACCAGTGGCCAGGGCAAGGGGGAGCCTAGGGGACACCCCAGGAAGATAGAGCCAGAGGGGACTCAGAGGGGAGCAGTTGGAAATCGGGACCAACGTCACCGCCAGAGAGCAGGGAAGAGGAAGGGCACCAGGGATCAAGCGCTGGCAACTCACAACAGGGGGGAGGGCACGAGTCAGGAGTGGCCACACCTCCATCGGGGAGCGAAGAAACGGTCAGACGGAAGGTGGAAGGTTGGGCGCGCGCGCCAAGTTCAAATGCACAGGAAGGTGGCGCAGTAGGCAGCCCGGAAAGGAGGCCAGGTCCCAAAGCCC